TATTTTGTTTATTCATATATCCTTTTGATACTCTTTCAGCCATGCCTGAATTATTGATGTATGTGGAACATGTTTTATTAATAACTGCACATACTCCAACATGTTCTGTTAGACGGAAATTTAAAGCTAAGTGATTACGAAGAATCATGTCTGTTTGCTAGTGAGTTAAGAGAGGTCTAGAGATCAGACAGTGCATTGACTGTGTTAGTAAAGAATTCTTCAGTACTTGCTGTTAGATCATGTAGAGTCTTCTCATGGTAAGCAAAGCCACCCCAAGGGAGCACTGCTGAAATGGTGGCCATACCTACCGTGAATAGACCAAGGGCTCATCTTTGGAGAGGATGACTAGGTTGACTGAGTGTATGTGTATTATTGAGAATAGAGGTGATGGGGGAAATACAGCTTAAGGTGCAGTCAGAATATGCAGTTATACATAAAGCTTATTGAAACTTCTCATTTCAGCAGGAAGTAGTTTTTAGAAGATCTTTTCCCTTTCCCCCCATTTCCTCTTTTCCTTAAAGTGGGAATACAAGGTTGAAACCAAAATTATTCCATTTTGCTGACCTGTCTCTACCCAAATATGTTTGTGTGTTCCAGAAAATAGCAAATAATCTGAATAATGTTTACCCCTAGACTTATCGTGATAGTTGACAGTTAAAACAGAGAGTGCTGAAATAATAGGAAATGGCCCTAAGCCCTTAAAACTGCTGTGATTAGCTCCGCAACCACTGCTGCCTGCTTCTTCTGCCGCTCCTGGTGCTGCTTGTGTGCTCGTTCGGGGCGGACCTGGTACCACTTTTGTGAAGCGGCTGCTGAAGAGACTCCAGCCCTCTCCATGGCCGATGAGAAACCCAAGGAAGGAGTCAAGACTGAGAACAACGATCATATTAATTTGAAGGTGGTGGGGCAGGATGGTTCTGTGGTACAGCTTAAGATTAAGAGGCATACACCACTTAGTAAACTACTGAAAGCTACTGTGAACAACAGGGTTTGTTGATGAGGCAGATCAGATTCCGAATTGACAGACAGCCTATCAATGAATCAGATACACCTGTACAGTTGGAAATGGAGAATGAAGATACAATTGATGTGTTCCAGCAGCAGACAGGAGGTGTCTTCTAAAATAAACACAGAGGAGCCTGCTGTTTTACTCCAGAACTTTGTTCCTACAGACCAAGAACGCATTCTTAATTGTTGTTGTTGATATGTGCCCTAGAGTCGCTTGTGACTCATAGCGACCCTATGTACAACAGCCCTAAACTCTGCTCTATCCTGTGTCAATCTCACTGCCTCTGACACACCCATCCCGATTACCCGAGTCACTGAAACAATCCACCCCATAGAGGGTCTTCCCTTTCTGCGCTGTCCCTCCACCCTCCCAAGCATGATGTCCCTCTCCAATGACCTCTCCCTCCTTACAACATGTCTAAAGTATGTCAGATGAAGCCTCAGAATCCTTGCCTCCAAGGAGCCACCCAGTTTAACCCTTTCTAGGATGAATCTGTTTGTTTTCTTGGCAGACCAGGGAACATTCAATACTCTTCTCCAGCACCACAGCTCAAAGGCATCAATTCTCCTCCTATCCTCCTCAGTCTATTGTCAAACTCTCTGATGCATAACAAGTGATTGCAAAGACCATGGCCTGTATCAGATGCACCTTAGTCTCCAGAGTGACACCATTGCTCTTCAGTACCCTGGAGAGGTCCCTAAAAGCAGACTTTCCCATTGCAATACATTTTTTAATTTCCTGACTACTGGTGCCAAGAGGGTTGACCGTGGAGCCAAGCAGACTAAACCACAATTGGGTTCCAGCTCATCCTGACTACTACAGCACAGTTTTCTCTCCTCTTTCATTTTCCCTTCCCTATTCTTTTATTGTACATAAAGTAACTGGTGCATGTGCACATGCATATTGCAGGGGGTTTTTTTTGTTTTGTTTTTTTAAGTAAACTAAATGTCCAATGGTATGTCTTGATCAACATCTAGTGGAGATGGGATGGGGAAAAATACTGGTCCTGTGAAAATACCCCCTTTCTCTCTAAGTGGCATGCTCTTTCAACTCTTTATATTTCAATAAGTTATTTTGTTCTCACTGTTTAACAACAAACGACATAAGAAAATCCTTACATACCTTGTTTTTAATGTTTTTCATTTATCATTGTAAAACCAAGGACAATATTATAACTGTTTTGTACGTAGCTGTTACATGTAGTGCAGTCTGTCTTTAAGTAGGAGTAAATTACTCTAAAAAATGAATCCTAGATTGTTTTCCCTTCAAGTCAAGCATCTTGTTGTTTAAACAAACTTCTTGGTTAAAAAACAAAACAAAACAAAAACCTGCCGAGATTACCCACCCCCCACGAGTCAATGTGACATGGATAAATACCTTACTCTTCCCTTTTTTAGTTACTGATGCCAATTGAGCCTCAACCCACTTTCAACAAAGTGTCCATTTTACACAAACATTTTCTATACACTCAGCTAGTGTTTATTCTGGACTTTTTAGTGAGTTGGGACCTTTTACCTTTCCCATCAGGGGTAACCACAGTTCAGTTTATTATCCACCCTGTAGAGTAAAACACAAGGTGATA